AGAAAATACTACTATTTTGTGTTATTTACCACCTTTCGATGGTAAAATATTAAAAAAGTAGTTTATGAAATTTTATAAAATATTTTAATTTATAATTAATATTTTCAATAAAACAGGACATTATCCACCACTTCCTGGTGTGTATGACTGGGATAAACCTGAATCTCTGACTGCTATGCAGGATGAAATTGAAAAATGGTAAGAGAAATTATGATCATTTTAGTAGAATTTTTTCAAATAATTTTAAATATAACACCTTAATTTCCTTTTCTAATCTATAAAGAAAATTTTAACATCTTGTGTTCTTTCACTCTTTCCTCTCTACAAACACTAAGACAACCTTTTCTCATACCCTTTATTTGTTGTTCCCATTTATTACTTTAAAATTTATAATACTTATAATACAGTAGAGCATCGTTTATCCGAATATCGGTTATCCGAAACGTCGGTTAACCGAAAGCATTCCAGTCGGCAAATTTAAATTTTCGATAGTGCTGTGGCGCTGCAATCTTTGGCTATATCTTTGGCAACTCCAATATTCTTTTGTTGGTGTGTGTGTGTGTGTTTTAGCTGGCAGCACTGGCACTTTTGTGTGGTGTTTTTCTGAGGACTGTGTGTAGTGCTGAATCGAACGTTTTTGATACTAGATCAACTTCTAAAGTATAATTTTTTTTTGTTTTTATATTTTTGGATATATTTATTTTGTTTGTAAACAATAAAGAAATAATTTTTAACGATACAATAGACACGATTATTATTTTAAAAAGTTTACATTAGGCTTAACTACAACGAAAATTCAATGCGAAGCGACACGCAACGGAGAAAAATTACAACACGGGATAGGTTAATATATTTTTTCGTACGTAATCGGTTATCCGAAAAATAAGTTATCCGAACAACCCCAGTTCCCAATTGATTCGGATAAACGACGCTCTACTGTAGTTGTTCCCATTTATAATACTTTAAATTTTTTTTTAATTATTATTACACAGGAGACAGAAGAGTTTGGAATCTTATCAGTCACATTTTACGTGTTTAACTCGTCTTCAACAGGAAGTTCTGAGACTACACAATCTAGTAAACACAATTTAATAAATTTAATAAGATTTAATGGTATTTAACTTAATAATTTAATATTATTTTTTATAGTTAAGGCGACAAGAAACAACTATAACATTTCTTAAAAAAGAAAATTACATACTTCAGGCAAGATTATCAAGAGGTAAATGTAATTTTTATTAATAAAAATAAAGCTGTTCTAAGCAATACTCTAACTAAATAAATCTTTGATAATTCATTTATCTGTAATGTTAATTGATTAAAAAATTTAAATGTAATTCTTTTTTAAAATACTTTATGAATATTTTGTAAGGAAACATTTTTCTTTTAATAAATTCATGAAAAATTTATATTTATAAATAGAATGTGTCAAGATTAAATCATTTTATTAAATATAAAATCTTATTAAAACTTTAATAGTTCGGTTGAAGTTTTTTTTTTTAAAAATTAAACATTCAAAATATTCTCTTTCATATGAAAATATTATAATGAAACGAATAAATAACTTCATTCATATGTAAGTATCTTATTGAATTGAATTTGTTGAAGATTATTATAACACATTTCGTTATTTTTAATGTAACCTTATTTAATTTCATATGAAAGTAATGTATTGGTAAAATTTTAATGGTAGAGATGTGTTTTATAAATATTTCTAAATGATAATAACGGATAAAATCGTCATTAATTCCGACCCTACTCGAGATATGAAGAATGATTCTCTTAATCTCCTCACCCTCTTGACCTTTAACCACCAAAATTGAACCGCATTAATCTTCCTCAAATACAAATTTCCTTGCAAAATTTCATAAATTTTCGACAAAAATCAAAGGATTTATTAAGCTTTAAATAGGGTGAACAAAATCGTGCTCTACACGTGTATATCCATACATACATACACTAACATTAATAC